ATGGTTTAAAGAGAAAAAGTGGCAACATTGCTTTTTCGAGTATACAGATGCTAGCTGCGTTTCAGTGATCGCCGATCGAGATTTCTTTTATTTTACATTACATATTTGGATAAAGAAAAGTTAAGCAAATTCAACATCGATGTGATGCTGATATAAATCTGGATCAATTTGTGATCAACTCGGTTTGGTTTGTTTCCTATTTAAGTGAGGAAATTTTAATTGACAGCACCGCTTGACAAGCGGTCTGTTTGATAGTGGCGCAAATCGTTGACAAGCATTAGTGTGTTAGTTTGTTGTGATATGTAAAATGAGCAAGTTCGCGGAAGATAAAGATTTTAGTGGCAAGTAGCAAAAAATCGTCATCCGATGAAGACATGTTTACGTCCGCCCACTACGAAATTTTATTGCAAATGGTGTTGACGCTTTATGCTTGAGTGTCGCCGGGCAAGCTTCAAGCACCCGACATTCAACCCGACACTCACACATGTACTCGTTGCTGGGGTAACCAACAACGGATGCTTGAAATCGCCGACGAGCTTAAGGCCCGTCCACATACAACTTTGGCGTTGCGTTGGCGCTGGCGTCGCTTTGACAGCAGCGCGAGTAACGCCCGTGCTTGCTACAATGAACGCGTAGCAGAGAATACTTTGGTCACTAAATTAACATACTAGCGGCAGATAAATGAAAAAATTACATCAATAATTGCATTAAAAACTATATTTCTTGCCCGGATTTGATTAAAAATGAAAATTAAATCACATAATTTTGATTATTTAGAACAGCTGACGAATGACGCACGCGAAAAGTTGAGAGTTGGCCATCTTTCTGCGTTGTGTTGGCGTTGACGTTGCCCAACTTTGGTTATATGGAGACTTTCATATAAATGCATGTATTCATAGTCAGCTGTCGAAGCGACGCCAACGCCAACGCAACGCCAAAGTTGTATGTAAACGGGCCTTTAAGAAATCTTCAGTTTAAACATCAAAATTTTGTTTGATGGTTTGAAGGGAGTTGCCAGCTGTGGTTAAAATTTTAAATTTAAATGAATTATTAAGTTAAAAAAATTACTAAAAGAGGTGATTTAATCGTTCATGGGTTTGAGAAGGATTTATATCTGAACTGTTTAGGAGAGTTGCCAGGTGATAAAATTTAAATTCAATTTAATTCTTCAGGTAATTGAATTATGTATCAAAGTATCAGACGAAAGAGCTTTAAAAGATTTCAGTTTGAGTACCTCGGCGAAAATCTAAATTCGCCATCAACACCACCTTGTATAAATTCGCCTTGGGAATTCGCCTCCATTTTGACATCCAGTTTCCTAGATGAATTCGCCGCAAGTGTGATTTTGCGGCGACAAAGAATGTTGTTGTAACTCATACCAATGACCAAAGGCGAATTTATACAAGGTGGTGTTGTGCAATCTGCTGATTTCTTCTTCTTTCTCTCGCCTTATAGTCCGAACACAATGAAAACGACGAGCTACGAACCACAGCTGTCAAATTATTTGAACACGTACTCTTACGCTACGCGCACACTGCAGCCGGCATCGGCCGAATTGTGCTCGGCCGATATCGGCTATATGAGGGCGATTTGAATAAACACTTGTGACTATATGAGCGCTCTCACACATAAACCGATAACCGAACCGACATCGGCCGTTGACGTCCCTCAGTGACGATAAATTCAAACATGTTTGTTTTTCTCGTCCGATGTCAGGTGAAAAGTACCAAAATGGACAACGAAAAATTAACTTATTGGGTGCAAAAACAAAAAATTAACTATATAAAATCACATGTTTAGAGTATGTCAATTAAAATGTATCAAAATATTTCACTGCTTACAAAATTGTAATGATTTGTGTGTACAAATGCGGTCGGCAAATAATCTGGTTAAGTGTGCGCATCAATTCGGACGGTCAAATTGTTCGGCCGAAATCGGTCGGCCTATCGGATGCAATGTGCGCCTAGCGTTAGGCTTTCTGCACATTGGTCGTCCAATCATAGTTGCTTTATCGTCACAATCATGATGCAACGATTAAATGACGACTACACTTTCGCACACTCGGTCGTGATATTTCAATTCATTTGGCGTCTAAAAATTCACTTGGAGCAGGTATTTTCTGTTTTTCTGGTTGATATTTTCGCGAAATATTTACAAAAAACTGCAATTTTTAAAATGTAGACTGTGCTGCAACAATTCTAGACATCATTTTTCAGTAATATCTCTTCATTTCTTTTCCTGAAATGTGTTTTGTGCATCCACACAGAGACTTTTTACAATTTCGTCATATCTTATAGCTAAAACGCTCACGTTTATTGAACTTTAATGCAATTATCCACTTTTTAATAATTTCCACAGATTTTATGCAAAAAATACTTATTTTTATGCAACTTTAATGCAAATATTAACTTTTTCACAAATTTTTCCCCATAAAATGTAAACAAACAATGCGTACAACGATTAGCAAACGACAGTGCCATAATTATCCGTTTCTGCATCTCCTACGATTTGCCGATAACGACAAGTGTGCAGATCTTCTTTGAAATGCTTGTGCTCGGCTCTAAATTTCAGGGCGAGACGATAACGCAACTATGATTGGACGACAAGTGTGCAGATAGCCTTATGTAGATAATTATGTTGGCGACCACCGGCCATGATCCAACTACACTTCTAATTGGTTCATGACCACCGGGCTACGCGACGACTGTGTTCTCTCCAGATTAGATCTATTTCCATTTTTTAGCTACAGATAAGGTTCTTCCTCTTCTTTTATGTCAAACTCATACAAATTCTTGATGTCGCTGGCGCGTTCGAACAAATTATGTCGTCATCGACAAAGCGTTTAGATAATGAAGATAACAAATTGGAAGCCCTCGCCCGTAGCTCGTCGTTTCAATGAGTTTTGTACATGTATTTTGTTTTTGCTTGTACTGATTTGACAGCATACCCATGAATAGCAAAAACAAACTACATATAAACTTTGGGGCGAATTTAGATTTGACATTGTGTTACTGGCGAATTTAGGTTTCCGCCGCGGTCCTTCTCTATGTCAAAATGATGTGTTTGTTGTAATATGAATTCGCTTTGTTTACAACAAACATCTAAAATCGCCAGTACACCACCTTGTACAAATTCGCCTCGTTGCAAACCTTCTAGCAAGGCGAATTTATACAAGGCGATGTTACTGGCGAATTTAGATTTTCTCCGCGGATCTTCCTAATGCAAGGCGAATTTATACAAGATGGTGTTGGTGGCGAATCTAGATCTTCGCCGAGGTACTTCTCTATGTCAAAATGATGTGTTTGCTGTAAACAAGGCGAATTCATATTACAACAAACACATTTTGACATTAAGAAGTACCGCGGCGAAAATCTAAATTCGCCATTAACACCACCTTGTATAATGGGCTGTTTTTGCTTACGCGTAAAAGCACATTTAGCGCATTTAGCTCTAAATGTTACTCTAAATGTACATTTATCCATACAAAATTCGTCACCTAAATGCAACTCCATTTTTGCATTTAGAATCTAAATGCTAAAAGCAACCCTGTGATCCTCCAAACTTTCCACGATTCGAACATGGTTTAATGAGAAAAAGTGGCAACATTGCTTTTTCGAGTATACAGTCGCTAGCTGCGTTTTAGTGATCGCCGATCGAGATTTCATTTATTATTTTACATTATTTGGATAAAGAAAAGTTACGCAAATTCAACATCGATATGATGCTGATAGAAATCTGGATTAATTTGTGATCACCTCTGTTTGTTTTGTTTCCTAATTATGTGTGGAAATTATAATTGACAACACCGGCAAATGAATATATACACAAACAAATGTTTGGTTATGGTTAAAACAATTCAAGTTTTTGTATTGAATTTTCGGTTTAGAATTTATTTTTTCCTTTTCAGTAGGGGTTTTTGCACATTATCTTTTCCGTGAGAATTTATCGTAATAGATACGGATCTGAATAAGCGACTGGAACACGGCTGTTTGTCAAAAGCATACGATTTCGAACTCGCGTAAATGTACATTTGCTAAATGCGATAGCATGAACGCTCTTCGAAAACATATGTTCGAAAGTGCTAAATGTTGCATTTTAAATGCAGCAAAAACGCTGCATAAATTCGACTTGCCTTCTAGACTCACTCGCCACACTTCAGCCAGTTGTCTCCTCGCATACAGAGAACCTTTTGTTGCTCATTTTCGGCAACTTCTCTTTTGGTGTTGCCCTCCGCGTTCACACAGAGAAATTCTTTTGTACACAACTGTTGTTGTCAGCTGTGAACGGCCAACTAGAATTACTCAGACGAACGAGAGCACTAAGCGTTGTGCCCGAGCACGATCAAATCTGTGCCCTTCCCTCTTGCTCGCCACTCCCTTTCTCTCTAGTAACGAGTTGCCGCAACAAAAGATTCTCTATCTGAACCTAGACTTATGGATTTACGTTCTTTGGTAACTGTTGGCGAATCGATGACGGCTATCGTTTAATCGATATCGGACAATTCGTTAGCAATTTAAATAAATGCATCCGGCAGCACTATGAGGAAATGGATGACAAAAAGAATGGCGTTGACGGATAAAGGCGAACGTCCATCTTTTGTCATTGCAGTTGGAGCAAGCGGGATGTGTTGTTGAAGTGGAATTGACGTTGTGCGAGATAATAAAATTAAACTGCTTAAAAAATCTTTTTAACTTATTGAATAGCAGCTCTCCCTTCAAAATTCTTATAAAAACCAATTACATATAATAATAAGTGCGGTAAATTATTGAATTATATCAGTGGTTTGACGTAAATGAAGTTATGCATTGTCATACTCTGCATATAAAATAGTGCGAAATTTACTTGCTTGCTGCGAAAAGAAATAAGGCGGAAATTGGAGATAAGTGAAAAAATTAACAAGGTTCTTTTTTCATTTGTCTAGTAAGACCCATAAAAAGGAAAAACACTTAAACGAAGTAAATTTTCTGGACGTGTTTAGGTGATTGAGGCATTAGGTGAAGGTGTGTGTCAGTGATTTCAACTTCATTACTTTCGCTAAAAGAAAACAAGTGCTGTTTTTTCCTTGTCGATCTATTGGCGGAATTAGAAATATGGCACCAGCGTTAAGTAAAATTGCGCAAAACCAGAGCGCCATAGTGGGAGTGGCGGGCGTTTCGGCTGCTCTTTGGATAATTGCCTACGGAAAAATGTCCAGCAAGCGTAGGTGAGTGTGAGTGAAAACATTCATACATATGTATGTATGTACATATGTTTGTTTGTTCACTAATAAATTATTTTCCAATGGACTCAGCAATATCCATAATTCGTCTACACTATTTAACTATAACCTTGAATATTATTTTATTTATCTACAGATTTTGCTCGTTTATGTTATATAAATTTCCGGTTTTGAATATCCATTTCCGGTTTTCAAGTGCATTTGTATTTTGGAAGAAAAAATATGTACAAAATTTTAATTTGCTTTGAATTTCTTGAATGGTATGCCAAGGAGTAGTTGCCGATAAATTATTAATAGCGCCATGGAAGTTTTATGAATTTAATTGACTCTACTAGGTACCTGGTGTTAAGTTAGCTTTTATTTACAGCGTCAAATCATCTTTCCCAACCACAGTGTATGCAGCTTGTGGCAGCATGCTTTTGCTTGTACCTACATATATACATATGTACATACGTGCATATGTACATGCATAAATTTTAAAAGCGCAAAAGCAAGTTTTAATTTGTATGTATGTATGTATCTTAGGTATATGTGTGTACTCTCCCAGTCGGCAAAATTGAACATCAAGAGGCTGTCTGGGAGACGCTATTTCGGATCTTTTGAAGCGGTATATATATTTTGTATATATAGAATAGCCAGAGTTTCCCAGCCTTCTCATTCAGTTTCCCTTAGAAGGAAAAAATGGCATCGTGCAATGAAGCCTTATGGCCCTATGACTTTATTTTAATACAAATTTTTCACTGTGAAAGTGAAATAAAGCAATTATGGCGTTAGTGCACCTTTGATAATTTTTCGTGTAAAGTTTACCTAATGCACAGCTGGTGTGTATATAAAAAGTATCTCGGTAATTCTCTAGTTTAAGGTACTACTTGAAAAAAAGCGTCCAAAAATGACAGGAGGGGTCCCAATTAGGGATGTTAATTTTTCGGCTTTTTCCGAGCCCGGGATTTTCGGGATGGCGTCACAATCCCGGGATCCCAGGATTAGTCCCGGGATTCAGGAATTCATTACTTTTCAACAACTTGAGTCGAAAAAACTGCTTCTATATTCTTTGAGAAGCTCTCCTACCATGAAATAAATAATAAATAAATGGGTTTGAAAGTCACTTTTTTATTTAAAGTGGCGTTTTTATTTTTTCTCTCTGACCGCAGGTTTTATTTAGAAGGTCTTTGTAACTTAAAAGATATAATTAATCCCAAAATTTATTAAAAAATTCATTGCAATGTAGAACAAAAAATATGGGTAACAAATGCTATGGAACTTTTCTGTAGAATTTAAAAATTTAAATTTTTTGGATTCACAAGGAGGAATAGATAATTTTAAGCTGACAAAGTTAGAAGAACGAAATTCGAGGATGTTATCGAGTTTATATAAGCCCTTAACATATATATAATTTTTTCAAAAAACAAATATTGCGAAATTTCAGGGATAAAATATTAAAATGACATTTTCAATACTTACCAGCCCTTCTGCATTTTAAATTTGAATCTGTTAAATTCTACAGGATTTCCTAATTAATTTTATAACCATACTTCTTCTCTAAGCACATTTCTCTGAATTTTTTAAATCATTTTTGAATTACTGGCGTCAGAGTGAAAAACTAAAAATGCAATTTTACTATATTTGGCCCATGGTTTCGCGAATATATTGATTAATATTTGTGTTTAAAATTTACTATCGCTCGGTGTTATATGTATAATGAGCTGGCAATTACAAAAAAAAAATTAATTATTAAATAAAAAAAGAAATATAGACAAACTGGTCGAGAAAAGGGGTTTCTATTATTGCCATCAGTGCAAATTAGAAACCCCGAAAATCCCGGGATTACTTGCCAAGCATCCCGGGATTTTCGAGACCTTGAAAAGTCCGGGATTCCGGGATCCCGGGATTAACATCCCCAGTACCAATCCGCACGTTTTATCCCTATTTTACTAGTTCGGAGGTGTAAGATTAATATTAACCTTTTAAAAGTTATTAATAAAATACCTTTTTTGGAATATTCCAGCAGGTTCTGCAATTCACTTCCGAGTGAATTTCAATCACATCCGCTTTGGATTCAAATTGCAGAACCTGCCTGATGGCTTTTTTTATTAGCAATTGCACTCTAAAAAATGAACTAAACGCTATTAAAATATATTTTAAAAAAAGCACATATGTATGTATATACATAAATTTTAAAACAAAAGATTGTTTATTTTGTTATTGAAAAACAAGTAACCAAAGTTCCTGAACTGAAACGAGAAAATGCAAAATGGCGTATACTTAGGGCCAATTTCACAATGCGTAGTTAACTCAGAATCGGGAGTTAACTACAGAATTTTGTACTGAAAATCTCTAGTTAACTGTCGATTCTGAGTTAACTACGCACTGTGAAATTGGCCCTTAGTACTGCCACTTTATTTCTATTTCGTAATAATTCAGTCTTCTTTATATGGCGTCTGCAATGTTGAGTACTTTTTGATTTTGTAATTTACAATTTTAAAGCATAATCCGGATCAACAGTTAGTTCTCGAGTTGATCAGGATCAACGCTGCCGTCTGTTTAAGCTTTTATGCACACCTTAGTTTTATGAATGTATTTTAATTTGTATTGATATGTTTGTATGTATGTACCTATATGAAATTTTCTTTTAGATCGGTAAGATGCATATTAAGTTGAGGCATGTATAAAATTTTCTATGACAAAAACGAAAAGCAGACAACCTCATACACATATATATATACATATATATATATAGAATTATAAATATATCTTACTGATTTAAAGGTAGACTGGAGACTAGGCCTCGCCAGCTACCAAACTAGTTAGACAATATACATTTATATAGGTTAATTGATAGCTTTAGAAACATAAACAGCTTTGTAATTGAAAATTTAAATTTAAACTTACATATACGCATACTTTGTTATATATTAAAAATACCTATCTGTACTTTTAAGTCGCAAGACTGTAACAAATAAATAAATAAATAAATAAATAAATAAATAAAGACCTCATATATGTATGTATATCATCAAAAGCAAGAATAATAATTTTTTACGAGGGCCGCGCGGCGCGTTTGGACGCAGGCTGGCGAGCCAACGCGGACCGCCACCAAAGAGACAACATTTACTTACCTCTTGTATTGAAATAAGATCATATGGCTTTATTTCTCATATGTAAAATTTTTGCTCATGACTTTATTTCACTTTCCCTATGGAAATAAAGCCATATGGCGTTATTTTCTATGGCTTTATTGCTCATCGCCGGGAATAATTGGCATGAAATAATAATTAAACACTTTTGATTAAACTTTGCAATAGACACACACCGATGCGTCTTTGACTTTCGTTGCCATGAGAACCCACATTTTCGCCTGCCTTCGCTCCTCATCTTACCGACTGGGATATAAAATGTGCATACATATGTATGTATGTATTGATTTGTTGCATTCCCTTTTGTTAGCACCATCAGCTGAGCGAGATGCAAAAGTTATATTGCAATCACTGTTGTCCACAGATACCGACTTTTGTATATACGAGTACATACTTCCATACATACATATGTACATAAGTACACACATGCATACATATGTGTGTACATACGTACCTGTCTGTATTCATATCAACGTGCAATGCATGTTTACAAACAAATATCAACACGTTGGTCACTTCAATTTTATGCCTTGCTTTTCTTGTCTTTGGCTTGATTTCGTTATTTAGGCCATTCGATATTTTCCATTTTCGTTTTGTTTTCTGCATTAAGCAATATACAATTACTAGCTTATTTGAAAGAATTAAAAGTTGGTAAAAAATTAATTCGAAAAGTACCCACTTGGAAATTTTCTATGCGGTGTAAGTGCACTTTTAGCATTTGAAATTTTTTGTATAATAAATATGCTTAGATCCAAACATACCCTGTAGGGATTTCTCTAGCCCAAAAATAGTTTATGGTGCGTTCCTTTTTCCACAGCACTAGTTCCCGCTCAATCTCCGAACAACGGCTTGAACTGTCTACTTTATAATGGAGGTGTCATTGGCGGTGGGTGGACAGTTGCTCCATAACCATTTCAATGTACATAGTTCAGAGACAGTTGCTCCATAAGCAATCTAATGTAGATATACTAAACGAAAAATCTCGTTCGTTGACCATTTTTGTAGCCGTGCCGATATTTCTTAAACAACAACAAATCAATACTTTGTTTGTGCACGTGGATGCTTGCACAGATGAACGTAGATCGTAGTTAGATTTTCATTTATTACACTTCGTCTGCCAGCAGATATCGGAATTTTTTAAGTATCCAGTGTCCCTCATTGCATAACAAAGCAACCAGTCCAAGTATTGTTCTGTTAGATACTATCTCTGAATCATGGGGACACTTGCGCACTGCAGGGTGCATATCGGTCATATCTATAGCACGCCATTTCAAAGTGATATTGTGTGCAACTTATGTTTATTTATTTATTTTTGAGAATTTTCAATTAAAATACAGTTCTTTCTCTAACAAACCCTATATAAAAACAAGTTTAACAATTTGTAGAAAACTTCAAAAAAGTGCAACAAATTTTCACCTAAATTTCAAACTTTTTTCTCAGAAGTGTTTGAATTTTTCTGAATACACAGTTTTATAGCCCAACCAATTTTAGTCTGACAATGTGCAAGTTTCAAGTTGCTAAAAGTTACCGTTGATTTTTTAGAATTTTTTTCGCCAAAGGTGTTGCGGATTTCTTCCATATACAAATAAATTGAGTTTATTCATTATATGGAAGCCAATGCGACAAAAAAAATTCTAAAAAATTAACGGTAAATCGTAGCCACTTGACATTTGCACATTATCAGACTAAAATTGCAGTGGCTAAAAAACTGTGTACTCGAAAAAATTCTAACACTTCTGAGAAAAATGTTTGAAATTTAGGTGAAAATTTGTTGCACTTTTTTGAAGTTTTGAAATTGTTAAACTTGGGTTTAAATGGGGTTTGTTAGAGAAAGAACTGTATTTTAATTGA